CTTTAAGGTAAAAGAAGACAGAAACAAATAGACAAACAAAATAACTGTGTGTGTGTGTGTATAGTGTAGTGTTTGAAAAGAGAATAAAAGTAATTAAACCAGAATATTAGCAACAAGTGTTAAGATGAACTATATTTAATGGCTATTTTTGATACTAACATTTTAAAAATGCTTTTGAATTTATTATAAAATACAATATACACATTTTAAACATGTTTTAAGAAAGGAAAAAATTTTTTCTACGGAACTGCATTATAGCCTTAACTGGTTTACTGTGTTAACACTGCACCTTCCACATCTGTGACATCTTTCCATGAGTCATCTCTCTTGTCCACCAAAATTTTCACCTAGCTTTTTGGAGGTTGGAAAAGGAAGGCACTAATAATTCAAATGATCACTTCTCACACAGTATGTCAGAGGTAAGACTAATGAAACCTTATGAATTCTCACTGAAGACAAGGCATCGCAGCTGGAAGCCCGAGTTCCCGGAACAGTAAAGGACAGACCGTGCCATTATGCAAACACACGTAAGAGAGGAGCATTGGGTGGTAAAAACAAATTTAAGAGAGACCGTAATCTGGGAGAAAATAAGTAGGGTAAGTAGAACATCCATATTTCTCACATTAAGAGGTGAGGTCTCTGAGGATCAACTGTCCATTCCTCTCGGAGCATTATCCACAGTATACACTTTTTAACTAAAACTGAAAACACGTACTCCATCGATAACTATTACTAATATCATCGGTTGCACACCATGAACCAAATATTCAGGAAACCTGTGATATGGCATTTTACACATATTTCATATTTATTTCTCCCCAGATATGCCATTTTTGTCATAATGAAATTGTGATTCGGAAATTGCCCTACCTATTCAATGTCACATGGCTAAAAAGTACATAATTCACACTTGAACCCAAGTCTGTCTGACCCAAGGGCTTATACTTTTCCCAGCATTCTACACCATCCTACAAAGTGTTACGGGACCACAACATCCTATTGAAAGAGCTGGCTGGGCCAGCGTAAAGACAGAATTCCTTTTAGGAAGAGAACTTCACCTTTGGCAGGGAAGCTACTTTAACAGGTACACTCAGTTAGGAACGTTAAATTCATTAGGATGTGACAATGTAATTCAGTGATTTAAGAAATACAGAAATGCGTATCTCACTCACGTGATGATCTCAGGTCAGGGCATGGCTCTCCTCCACTTGGATCAGGAACTCAGGCTAAGGTCTTCTCTTCTATCCCCAAGATGTCGCTTACAATATATTTCCTGCCGTGGCCATTCCTACCCTTGGGAAGAAGGAAAAGGCCCAGAGGAGCACACATGTGAGTATCTCTAGGTCACTCCTGGAAGAGGCCCCTGTCAACTCCACCCACCTTCCACTGGGGAGAGCTCAGTCCCCAGGTGTCAATACCTTCAGAAAGAGCACTTGAGTGGAAGACACATAATGCAGAGCAGAGATTCAAAAGGCAGAGAAAACAAAAATGAAACAAAACAAAAAAGGAGCTAGAGCCAAAAGGGAAGGCCCTAATCAGTCCTGGAGATACTCGGATATGCTGAGGTGCCCAGAATATGGAATTCACGGCATCAAGCCATTTTGTTGAAATATTCACTGAAGGGAGTCTGAAAAAGCACGAAAATCTGAGATTACAAATGGCTACAAATGGGATAGCAGTGGAGGAGAAGAAAGATCACTGGGCTCAAAAGCAGAAATCCAGGGATCTCAATTCTGACCTTGCTACTAATTAGTTCTTTGATTTAGGAGAAATCTCCATCACTCCAACCCTCAACTTCCTTTTTTCCAACTGAAGTATAGTTGACTTATAACGTTATATTAGTTTCAAGTGTACAGCATAATAATTCAATATTTTGGTAGATTTCTCTCCAAACAAACTTATTTTAAAAATTTATTATATTCCCTGTGCTGTGCATTGCATCTTTATAAGTTATTTCCAATCCTCAACTTCCTATTTAGTTAAGTAGGGAAATAATACTTGCTCCACAGGGCTGTTGACCAATGGGAGAAGATAATGTATGCAAAAAGCATCTGAGCCTGTAAAGTACTACGTAAACATAACGTAAAACTATAACACTGGCCTGGAAAATGCACAGAATATGACTACTTCCCATTTTCTGGGCAATGTGGTCACTTTCATTAATGGTGGGGTAAGAAGAGCAAGGACTGAGAAACACCATGAGGGTTAAAATACAGTGACAAAAGAACCATTGGGGCTTAGGAGAAGATTTGGGTGCAAAAAGTTAGATGTCAGAATTAGTCTTATGTTTCAAAGGAATTTTGCCAAAGACTATATGAATCTCTTCCATAATATTTGGTATTTGGGGCCAGTGAAAAGACTAAGATAATGAGAAATGCAGTGCACATACGAAGTTGAGCATATTTCAGATTTAAAATCCAGTCAGCTACTAATTTTGCATTCATGGGTGTATGCATGTGTGTGCACGCAAGCATTTAAATGACGCTTTCTAATGGCTGTGGTTGCTGCTTCCCCTTTAAAAACGGGTTTTACTTGCCTTATGTTCTGTAGAGTTAATTAAATACCAGAGATAACATGTTTACTATCTCAAGTCCCACATAGTTGTGAGGATTTTGTCATTGATTTTGGTCCAAATAGAACACCTTTAGAAACATAGCAACACTCAGCTGCTCTTGGGAGAATCTAATGAGTTATTAATATATCAATATTACTATTTTCTGCCTTAATATCCCATATCCGTGCCTTAGTCCCACCATACACACACACACACGTATATACACATACATATATTCCTTAACACTAGGAAATCAACTCCTAGATACTTTAAAAATATATCTCCCCTTGTAGAGTGCACAGAAACTCCCTGTACACTTCTTTACAACTTCCTCTAAGTCAGTAATTGCTTTAAAAAAAGAATTACTTTTCCCCTAAATATTTCCAATACATAAAAGAGCACAAGGAAGTTCGTTTGGAGTTCTGGTTAAAGCATTTCTATTGCCTTCCAAATACAGTACTAGAAATACTACCCATTAGATTTGGGGTTCGGTTTTCCATTTAGATGCCATCCAAATTATAATAATGCAAAAAGTATTTCTTAAAAGTGAGGTTTCTTAGTAGAAAGCATTCTTTGCTTTAGAAGAAGCCACCACGGGAAAAAAAAGAACTGCAGGCATTAGAGCTGGGTTCTTATTTTTGACCAAATGCCTTAAGAGAAAAAAGGACACTCTGTAGGATCATAAAAAGTCTTTGGATGGGACTTCTCAAAATATCATGAGCCAACCAAAACACTGTTATTTGGCATGCAATGTAACACTTTGAAAATACTTCCTGGACACTTTTTTATGTGACAGCTACTGTGCTAGGCTTGTAGACAAAGTTACAGATGACGCAGCCATCAATATCCACCCAATCACCGAACTCACCACGTCCCTCCTTTCATCGTTCTCTGCATCTGAGTCCTCCCTCTGTGCTACAGCCTACCTCCTCAGTAACTGCCCCGGCATCCTCTAGTCTGTCGTCTCCAATTGCACTGAGACCTTTTAAAGTCACAGGACCAGCTCATCCCTGGACTATAAAACTTGTACTTCAGACTGGTCTCTCTCCAATTCTTTTCTAACTTCACCATCAGCATGATTTTTTCTTTCAAATTAAAAAAAAAATCATCATGTTGCTCTCAAAATCCTTTACTGACTCACCACTACCTACATTCTCAATTTTTAATTCCTATTTTGTGCAGGTGGGATACTGTTTGAAAATAAAGTAGCACCTCAAGGTATGAGGTCTTTGAAACCAACTGGTACTGTAGTGCAGTAATTTATTTTATGAATCACAACTAGTTGATTACAAGGTCAATCAATGAGAACACTGAGATTATCAAGATTATTACCAAAATTTCAAATCAGGTTTGGGAATGAAATTTTACTCTTACGTCAGCCTTGATGTCCGATTTTATTTCTGGGTTTGGTTTAGAATTTAGAGAAATTAAAAATGAAATAAACCCTAATTCACACGGATAAATATTTGAAATTAAGAACAGGTTTTTAATAGCTACTTTTGCAATCTCGTGATATTTTTTCAATTAAATGGAAGCGACAGGACAAGCTTTATTTTGAAAAGATACGAACGTGGCAGCCAAGTTAATTGTGCTGGTCACCTCTAGTGTGTTCCTCTAGTATATCTGAAAGGGTTTTCTTCTTTGCTTAGTTATTAAAATAGTTTAAAACATCACAATATAAAATTCATATCAACAACCACGAAGCAGAATCAAGTCCACACTTCTCAGCACGGACTATGACACCCTCCATGATCCCGTCGTTTCTTGTTTTCTCCAGTTGTGCATCTGCTCATCTTCAGCCCCAGGCTTAGCCCCACCAGCAGTTTCCGGTTCTTTGAAAGCAGCATGGTTCAGTCCTTGGTTTCCTGTCTCTTGCCTTCTCCTCTGCCTGTGATGCACCTGGGGGTTTTCTCCTCCGTGAAAGCCCCACTTCTCTCCAGGGAACTTGGCCACTCATTCTACGCCCCATCTACTCCAGCAAAGGAAATCTGTATTTTACCTTTTGAGACATTTATTTGTTTTTGGTGTTTTCTCCTTTCATCCCTCCAGACTTGAGGGAAGGACCCTGTGTTATTCACATCTGGGGGAGATCTGCCCTTTGTCACACAAGCTTAGCTGAAACTACAGTTCCAAGATCCCCTGTATTGTTTTCATTTATGAGTGGCCATCAGGGAATAGAGTGTGAGATTCAGAGGCAGAAATTTATCAGCAACCACTGATCTCTGAAGGCTGGTGGAGGGCACCGCTGACGGCGGCAGCTCACAGGCATCGCCACTGATGCTGGCTCACGTTGTGGTGGGAGAGCAGCTGAGCCCACAGCTCCTCCAGGGTCTGCCAGACTCTCCCCTGTCAGTCTCCAAGGCTGGGGCCAGGCACGTCAGCAGCTCCAAGGCAAAGGACCCCCCTTCTGCAGGGCGTGCAGGTAACTGATTTCATGGCTTTCAGCTTGCTGTTTACAAGTTCCAGTTTGTCTTCACTCTCCCCCACTCCACATCCGAGTTTTCTTCCCAATCGCTGGCTTTGGTTGTGCATCTCCTCATCTTCAGCCCCAGATTCAGAGGCAACAGCCTTTCAAAGACGTCTTCACCAGCACCTACAACTGATTAAGGGATAATCCGAAGAATAAATAAATCCCTCACTCCGTATCACTTAAAATGTCTTTATGGATCCAGTCTTATCTCACACAGTATTATACTCTAGTATTACACCTCTTTTCAATTCTTGGTCTTCAGCAGGTATTCATTTCATAAATATTCTTGCCCCCATTAACAATCAGCACTAGTCCACCTGGCGGCAGGCTGGGGACAGGTATAAGCTGGAGATGGAATTAACCAGGACTTTAGTTTTACAGCCATCAGAACTAGAGGTCACCCTAGATATTATCATGTACAAGGTAACTTTAGGGAAGATAAATGCACATAAAATGGTGTCTACACATTTTCCTGAAGAGAGAGTGGGTCCATAGCTTTTAACAGATTCCAAAAGAGCTAGTGTTAGAAGACACTCTATTTTCCAGATGTCAAGCTGGAGAACCCCACAACTGGATAATAGGAGAATTCAGGCTAGAATCGGGGTGTCTGACCTTAAGTTTTGTTTTCTCTCTATTCCAGCATGAAAAATGATAGAAAACAAAGTTGTTAATGATAGAAATGCTGCAGCAGAAGGGACAGTGAAAGAGACTAGGAATGCTTCCGGGCCCTCTGGCCTCTCAAGGGGCTACTGTGAATATGTCCAGAGGTTCCGAAGTCTCAACGTCACCTTGGAAAGTCTCACTGCTCACCACAGCGCACCCACGACAAGCCACCGCCTGTGCCACGCAGATCAGTCTGCTCTGTGTACTAGGTTCATCCCATCCGGGAGCAGCGCTTTCAGAGCTCTGGACGGTCTCGTAGGGAAACTCCAGGGAGGAAGAGGGTGAGGTGAACCGTAGCTCCCACTGCTGCAGCGAGTCATCCACCTCCACATCTCCCTGATGCTGCCCTACCTTCCCTCTCCACCGTCCCACCCTCCCCTAACGTCATGCCTAAGGTGGCTCTGCAAGTCCCCACCTCTAAGTGCTGGCCATTGCTACCTCCAAGCTCTCCAAGCCACCCCAGCAGCATTTCTTGGGGCTTTGCAAGGTTGTTAACTCCTGTGTCACAGAAGAGTGCTCCCATATTAATCAACTCTCCCTGAGCTGATTTTATGTTCTAACTCTGTGGTCTAGAACCCTCAGGATTCAGTTCCATGGCACT